TTTGGAGGAGCATAGTATGTTGCTTTAGCGTTATACAAAGATTATTACTAAAAATTGTACCCAATTCACTAGTGAAGCATTTACTTTTTTCTATAAGAATCTTCACATCCAATTGCTCCATGCATTTGTAGTCCATCCTCAAACAAATGGGAAAACTGAGGTCACCAATTGTACCATACTCATGAGGCTAAAAACTTGCCTTGGGAAGGCTGAGGGGCAATGGGCTGATGAACTCCATCTTGTTCTTTGGGCTTATCACATCACTTCTACTACCCCCAATTAGAGAAGCACAATATTGTCTCTATTTTGACATGGAAACAGTTATCCTAGTTGATATTGGAATCTAAAGCATACGTGTTTAAGATTTCAAACTTAATATGAATAACAATAAATTCCAATAGAATTTAGATATCCTAAAACCCATGATGTGGCATTTCTAAAAGTTGTTATGTAAAACTAGATATTAACTTGTCATTTCAACAGAAGTGTAAAACCTTGACCTACCTCCATTAAGTACTTGATCTTATAAAGCCTTGAGACCACCGGAAAAGGCCCTCAACGCAACAAAATTTTGCCTTTTGGGAGGGTTGTACATGGTCAAAACTATGATCAAGCCTAAAAATTTGAAGCTAAAAGATCTAGATAGAAAGACCCTTCCTCAAACTTGGAACACAAAAAAATTTTGTAGATTTTGTAGTAGTGAACAAAATAATTTTTCTTTGATTACTATTTATTTTTTACTGGTGTTATTTATCACTGTGCATATGTGTTTGTTTTTGTTTGCTTTTATTTTATTTCAATGTTTGATTTACTCATTGTTTGAGAAATGAAATTGTGCTTTACTTGTGTCAACAAAACATTATTTAAATACAATTTTAATTGAATTCTCAAAACAATTCAAGGCTGTTTTGTAGACTCATGTGAACATAGCCCTAACTAGGGAGTAATAAATTAAATTGCAACAATGAAAAGGTGTAACATCATTCTGGAATGTGGCAGCAATCATAGTTCAAGAAAAAAAAATATGATCCATCTTGACCTATGCCCTAGACGAGAAAAATAAAACATTTTGGGCACCTCATTATAGGTGTAATTATTTCCACGAGACATCAATTTGACCTTTTCCAATACAGGTTATGATTGCCAAGAAGATGCTTCGACCTAACAATCTTGGTAGGCCAAAAATATTTGGTGGATTCTACTCCACCTTTTTGAACGCATGTCATTGAGCTAAGCAGCCTAGGGTAGGTAAAAAATTCTTGGTGGATTTTCTTTGGCCTCTTCCATTACATGTTACAGTCATCGAGTGGGGGCCCCAACTAACAATCTAGGATATGTCATGCATACTTAATAAGAAATTCTTGGTGGATTTCTTTGGCCACTTTCATTACATGTTACAGTCATCGAGTGAGTGTCCCAACTTACAAGCTAGGATATGTCATGCATACTTAATAATGGAGTTTCTAATCCAAATCTAGCCACACAACCTAGGCTGGGTTAATATTGCTTGAGTTACTCTGAAAGTTATTGGTAACACTCAAGTCACTTTGCAAGATTCCAATACAAGATTGCATTGTGGCATAAAGATTGAATCAACATTCAAAAACACTAATATGAACTAAACGATGTGCACTATCATAATGTATAAAAGCTATATTAGATAGATTAAGAGCTCGATAAAAAAATATATATTATCATAAAGTGTAAGGAATACAACAAGCAAATGATATGCTATAAATATAAATGCACGATCACAAAGTACAAAGGATACAACAAACTGACAAGGAAATAATAATAATCCACTATGATATCATCCTTATATGCATGAGGAATATGCTCCAACAAGTCACTTTCAACTTCTTTACCAGCTAAGCATGAGGGGGGGATATTCAAATGCTTGACTGGGAGAGAGTTCCTTGATATCAGCTTTAGTCCGACGAAGCACACTCAAGTCTCCTTTTAAAAGCCCCAAGTCTTTCCTTTCTCGATACTCTCACACCGTATGCCATTTCCTTCACTGCATAAAAATCTTCACGAGCCTCTTGAACAATGTCCTTTATAGTCTTTATGTCATCTCCAACTATATCAACTTCTTCTCAGACTTCAAACATTTGTTTTCCTCTTCAAGTGCATATATCTTCACTCTTAAAGCCTTCGGCCTCTTGTTACTCTGAAAAATATTAGACCAAACCTTCACCAACTTATCTCGAACACTCTTTAGATCTTGACATTGCTATGAGAGGGAAATCACCATGGTGGACATATTCTTCCTACCCTCAATAACAGATTCTCTAAAGACAAAGCTTCTTCAAACTTAGAATCATATCATCATTTATACTCACCACAGACGGATTTTATATTGACACATTTTGATATACACTCAATCAAAGAAAGATTGAATCAATTTTTGAGTTTTATCTTTCTTGCTATCTAAAATAAATGATTTTATAGTAGGTAGATGAAATGAACATAAATAAAAAGAGATTGACACATGTAAAAATGACTCACATATTCCTCAACCTGCTGCTATCAAGTGCATAAATGATTTAGTACATCCTTCAGAATATGAATTTTTGAAGGGTTGATGAGTGGATTTTTAATCCCTTCACTTCACTTACTCTGTTCAGAGAAAGAATCTCGTAGTCGCTATCACGAAGGGGCCACTTCAAAGGGGTAGTAGGAGCCAATTTAGGATGCTTATTCTCAAATTTATTCAGTATCATGGAGCAAGATCTTCATGGATGGATGAGAACAACTACCTTGAATATAAATTCCTCATTCACAAAGTTGTGAATATATTATATCTCAAATTTCAGATATTTGATGTCCTGAAATTCAAGCATCTAAAGTATGTCAAAATATTCACTCTGAAAATTTCCACACACGAGCAAAACTGAGCACGCACATTATTTCATGCAAGAAAGATTCATCTATATATTGACTCAATCTGTCCACTCTGCCGACCCACAATCGTTGACCCAACCCGTACAACCGCCCACTATCCTCATGCATTAACTCAATCAACTCAAGCTTTGCTGACCCGACATGTGTAACCAAATGCCGACCACGTCCACACTATTGTTGCCGCACTGCTTGTCTGCCATTGCCAATTTCATTCCATCTGCTTGCCCTTATCACACTACCAACTTGTCATTGTCACCCTGTATATTACCATGGGATTACCACGCCACCACCACATCCATGCTTATCTTCATTCTTCAGCTGTTGCACCACATGTAGTAGCATCACCACTGCAGCTATCCCACGAGCACATTCGCTCTCTCACACATAGGCTTGCCCTCACACATGCTCACCTATGAACTCCATTGTGTGGTTTTGCTTTCCTCTGCCCTCCTTTTTGAGAACTTGCTCACGTTCGTACTCACTTGAACCCCACTATACCATTAATACATAATCCTAATTTTTCTTATATAAGGATGCACAAATGCACCCATACATGTGTGATTGGAAATCTGGGCCTCTCATTGCCTACGACCATTACCATCACTGGAGTAACATTGTCTAGCCACTGCCATCGTCTTCAGACCACCGCTGCTTGGATGCCACCAACCGTGATAATGATAATCTACTCCAAACTTCATAGAGTACCCATGACAACTCAAAACATTAATGTATGGTTTTTTTAGAATATTTATTTTTTAGAATATTTATTTTTTTGACGAAATAAATAACATCATTTGAAAATAGGGGGCTACTGATGCTCCATCAAAACCTTTTTTTCATCTAGCTTGAATCTTGAGGCATTGAGCAAGGAACATTCCAAATATAATTTCAAGATCATCCTAAGCCCTGATTGTAGCAAGGTTATAATCAAACCGACCTTCCTGTCAAGACAATACCGATGAGGCCAAAATTAGTTTGATCTGACTCAAATCAAGCCCAAATTAAATTACTTTTTGAACTTTTTCATCATCAATTGGATGTTTAAATGCACTCTAGATTTAACATGTTTATATCAAAATCAAGAGCCTTGATAGGAGGAATTCAACGAGTTTTAGCTCTCTTAATTTTGATGTCATTAATGCCAACAAATTGTTAAAAAGTATCCTATGATCAATGGAGATTAATATGGGTTGTTTGACCTGATGGTTGGAGAAGTTACTCGTCAAATGACTAAAATGCGCCTCCTTTAGTGGTTATAAATAGACTTGCTCTCTTCACTTGAGGGAGAGGAGAGAAGAAGAAATTCCAGAATCTATTCTGTATGAATACTCGACAATAACTTTGTGCCGCCAAAATCGTCAACTATCATAAACTACCGTCTGTCTGTCGCCATTGACCGCAACCAGACGCCCATGCTCTCCATCATTAACAATCCTCTGCTTTGTAACGATGTATCCCAATTATGAATGTAACGTGCAACACCATGACTAAGACCCCACTCTAACTTCTGACATCTGCAGCTGAAGAACATCATTGACCATTCACCTGTGGACCACCATTGACCATTCACCTGTGGACCACCGCAGCCACCAATGGCAGCTCCAGTTTGCTGTCATCGACAACCCGTAATTGCTAATATCATATCTGAAGTACAAACGTAACATATAACATCGTACTGAAGATCCTGTGAAAACTTTCGAGGACCGCTGCTTATGACTACTATATTCAGAATACAACGATTCTTTCTAGAATCCTAAAGTTTGTTTATACATTGTATGCATATATTTATTATGTATGGTGTAAAATTGTAACTCTACTCTTCTAGTAGTCATAAAAGGTTATATATTTGTACCTAGAGTGAAATAATTTGGCTATGATTTTTTTCTTTTTTTGGATAAAAAAATTTGGTAGACATCTTCTCTTGCTTTTCAATTGTCTATGTGTGTGTGTTTGATTTTCATGTAAAACTTGAACCTTAATTAATCACTTTATGTTTGTGAATTTTCTTACACACAATAATATAAATATGTTTAATGTGATAGAAATAAATTAAGTGGCATAAATGAAAAAAAAGGGCGCAAAATTTAGCAGCTGGATAAATAAATTCATTAAGAATTGAGTGGTATGTATGCTGTTGCCAATTAATTAATCTACATATTTATGAACCTCAATGTTTTCCATTTTCAGGTAATGCTGAAGCTACCTTCGACTGAGCCGCTGCACGGGTTGGTGGAAGAAGCAGAGCAGGCGATAGACTTCAGCCAGACCGACATCCGTTTGCCGATGCTGGTGTACATATCCCGCGAAAAGCGCCCCGGCTACGACCACAACAAGAAGGCCGGCGCAATGAACGCCCTCGTCCGCGCCTCCGCCGTCATGTCCAACGCCCCCTTCATCCTCAACCTCGACTGCGACCACTACATCTACAACTCCAACGCCGCCCGCGAGGGCATGTGCTTCATGATGGACAGAGGCGGTGAGAACATCTGCTACATCCAGTTCCCCCAGCGCTTCGAGGGCATCGACCCCTCCGACCGCTATGCCAACAGCAACACTGTCTTCTTCGACGGCAACATGCGCGCCCTGGACGGCCTTCAGGGCCCCGTCTATGTCGGCACCGGCTGCCTCTTCCGTCGCTTCGCTCTCTACGGCTTCGATCCTCCTTCTATTACCGACTACTCCAGCAGATGCGATCGCGCCGACGACACCGAAATGCTGCAGAAGCCTCTTACCGCTGCTGACTTCGACAATTTTCTCGACCCCAACCTTCTCCCGAAGCGCTTCGGCAATTCCGCCGCACTCGCCGAGTCCATTCCCGTCGCCGAGTTCCAAGGCCGCCCCCTTGCCGACCACCCTGCCGTCAAGTACGGTCGGCCCCCCGGAGCCCTTGTTGTTCCTCGGCCTCCTCTCGATCCGGCCAACGTCGCCGAGGCTGTTTCCGTCATCTCCTGCTGGTAACTATGAACAAACTGATCTACGCGCACAGAGTCTTTGATTGAATGCCGATAAAACGAATAAAAGATCTGTTTTTCCAGGTACGAGGATAAGACAGAGTGGGGAGACAGGGTGGGATGGATCTACGGATCGGTGACAGAGGACGTGGTGACCGGATACAAAATGCATAACCGAGGTTGGCACTCTGCATACTGCATCACCAAGCGCGACGCTTTTCGCGGCTCCGCTCCCATTAACCTCACGGATCGACTCCATCAGGTCCTCCGCTGGGCCACCGGCTCCGTTGAGATTTTCTTCTCCCGTAATAATGCCCTCCTCGCCACCCGCCGCCTCATGTTTCTTCAGCGAGTAGCGTACCTCAACGTCGGAATCTACCCCTTTACTTCCGCCTTCCTTCTCGTCTACTGCTTCCTCCCGGCACTCTCCCTCTTCTCAGGCCAGTTCATTGTACAGACACTGAACGTTAGTTTCCTCATCTACCTCCTGACAATCTCAGTCACCCTCATCGGCCTCGCCATCCTTGAGGTCCGCTGGTCCGGTGTGGGCTTGGAGGAGTGGTGGCGTAACGAGCAGTTCTGGCTAATCTCCGGCACTTCTGCACACCTCTACGCCGTCGTGCAGGGTTTGCTCAAGGTCATGGCCGGCATCGAGATCTCCTTCACTTTAACCTCCAAGTCCGCCGCCGAAGACAACGAAGATATCTACGCTGACCTCTACATCGTTAAGTGGACTTCCCTCATGATTCCGCCGATTACCATCATGATGGTGAATCTCATTGCCATTGCCTTTGGCTTTGCGAAGACTATTTACAGCGAGATCCCGCAGTGGAGCAAGCTCATGGGAGGGGCTTTCTTTAGCTTCTGGGTTCTAGCTCATCTCTACCCATTTGCTAAGGGGCTCATGGGGAGGAGGGGGAAAACGCCCACCATTGTTTTTGTGTGGTCGGGACTCATTGCTATCACCCTGTCCTTGCTCTGGGTTTCCATTAGTCCGCCCAAGTCATCAGGCACGTTGGCTGGTGCTGGAGGATTCCAGTTTCCATGATTCATCCTGTTTTTTTAGCTTATTTTTGTCATTATTTTTTGGAATGATCGCAAGGATGAATGGGCTTGATCGTTTACTATCTTATGTTAATATTCATGAGGACGGTAGAGACAATGAGAGGACTGGGGCAGGGATAGAAAGGAAACGGGATTGTTCAATCATTGATATGGTGTTGAAGGAGAGATTGAAATCTGATATTTTGCAAGTGAAACTGAAGATGTAGAGGTAAACGAAATTAGAGCGACCGACTATGGACAAAGTATGTGAGTTATATCTACGAATAATGCTATGCTTTGCAAAATGAAGCTCATTGGCTAAAAATTATTTTGCTTTCTGTATTATGGTGCTTCTTGGAGCTCCCTCTTTTTATATTGCCAAAAGGGGGAAAAAAAAAGTGAGGAGCTCTCTATGCGACTACTTTTGCGGAGATTTGTATGTCATCTAGTTGATTCATTTATTCATTATTTCATAATATTGAATATTCTTGTGCTGTCAATAATTTTTTTTATCATCCCTCAAGAATCTTGAAACATGTTGAGCTAGAAATTTTCTAAATTCAAATTCAGGAGCGTCTCAACAAGACTAACATAATGATTGATCCAATTGAAATCCTGATAAGCCCAAATCAAATACTTAAAAGTGTTATGAAATATTTTGGTGAATCTATTGCATGACAAACGATCTTAAAATTGACATGCTTATATTCAAATCGATCATTTTGATGAGAAGAATCTTACTGTCCCAACATCATCTAATTCAAATGTCTTTAAGGCACATAAATGTTGAAATAATTACTTGTGAATGAGATAATCAATATGGACTGGTACATGTAGTGTTTTCGGAGATTAACAGAATTTACCAAAATATCCATCTAAAAAATTATAAATATGCCTTTATTCTTTACTTGAAGGGGGAGGAGAAGAGAAGAATGAGTTGGCAACTAAAGCTTAAATCTTAAAGTCCCAGCAGTTGCTATCGGTCGCTCGAGATCAAAGCCAGCCACTAGAGTTCATAGCTGACCACCGAATTTAACCATCAATCAGTAGAGGTCATTATTGACCATCACTTGTTGTTGACTATCACTAACCACAGCTTTGATAGCCCTATAAAGCTATTATATCCTCATGCACCTACAACTTATATACTCAAATACAATTTTTTTAGCCAATTATGGCAGATATAGTCCTAAGAGGACTATTTTCTTTAGACTATATTATTTATGGGCTCAATTATCCTTAACAGTTTTAGTTTTTAGGTTATTTCAAAGCAATTATAATTTCAACATCATCTTGTGATCCCTTCTTCTCTAATCCAGGTGAGGAGTGAACCTCAATACTTCTGATTACAAAATTGATTATTTTAATTCAGCCAGACCCCCATGTTTTTTTTCCTTTAAAGTATTTTTTCTAGTAAAAAGAAAATCCTTGTGCCTCCTCCCATGGCTTTTTATTATTTGTGTGCTAGACCTTTGTGCAATGACATGATGTTAATCCGTCACTCTACTATTGCAAATTTTCTAGCACACAACACTCTGACTTTTGTAGGAAATACAATTCCACCTTTTTTTGGCTAATAAGCATGACACTCAAAACATTGAAGTCGTCCATACTAATACCCCACTTTTTAAGTGATGATCTTGAAGCGAGCACGTCAAGCCTCTACTTCTCTTTTATCGGATATACATTACTCTAGTGATGAAAGAGCCTCTTTCTTTATTGATGGAAGACTATGTGCATATAGTAGAAGAATTTTAAAATGAGTCTCCAGTTCTTATATGAGGCTCGATAACTGGCAGCAGTCCTAACTGGTGAAGCTTACTTATAACAAGATCATCCACTAATTTTAGATGCCAAGCTAGAGAACTCTCTTCTCCAAGGCCTACTCCTCATATTGGAGATCATCCTTAACCTGTTCAAGAAGCTAACCTTCTCAATAGTGCCAGTTCCACACACATATCTACCTCATTGACCTACAAATTAGAATGCACTGTCACTTTCACCAAATTCATTGCCATACCACTGATCATGTCGTCAACTTTAGAAAGAAATAGAAATGATAATTCACTAGGAAAATTTTAGAATGATTTATAAAAAAATAATTAGGCTTGTGTGCCTGAGACTCGAGAAAGATAAAATATTTTTGACACTTTTTTCTATGTTTTATCGATCCCAAAGAGTCAATTTGACCTCATGTAGACAAGTTAATATAGTCGAGCTAAACTCTGACAAATAAGCTATGATATGCAAAAAAAAATCTTGGTATATTACATTCGACCTTGTTTATACATGTTAAAGTCATCGAGCCATGCTCTGACCAATAACCTAGGACAGTTCACAATTCTTTGGAGGATTATAATTGACCTTATCCACATTGGTTAACAACATCGAGCCATACATTGATCAACAAATAAAAGATTAAGTCTTCCATCCTTAGTGGATTTCTTACGACCCGTTCTACTAGGTTCTTAGTATTGAGTAACATTCCTAAAAATAATTTGAAATGGTCTAACATCCTTGAAAGTTTTTATTTGACCTACTCCTTGTAGGTTAACATGTTGAATAACACTTAAAAAATAACGACTATCTTCATGAAGTTTTGTCTACGGGTGGGATCCTCCAACAACTCCAAAAATAACCTTGAAAGATCTAAGATCCTTGATGAATTTTTTTCAACATATTCTTTCAAAGTTAATATCGTCAAGCAATATTTCAACAAAATAACATAAAAATGTTTAACAAAAAGAATAAGTCTTATAGACACTTCTACACAACTTAATGTTGTTGAGTAACACTTTAAAAAACAATTTCAAATAGGTTAAACATTATTCATGAATTTCTCTTAATATTTTATATACAGATTAATGATGTAAAATTGACCTCAAATAGGTAAAAAATCCTTAGTTTATTTCTCATTATATCTTTTATATAACTAATGATGTAAAAATGACCTCAAATAGTAAAAATATTCCTAGTGGAATTTTCATGATATCTTGTAAAATTATTAATATTGTAAAAATAAACTCAGATAGATTGGCCACTACTTGGTCCACACCATTGGATCACCTTCGTTTATATGTTTCCATTCAGTAATAGAATGCACTTGGATTTACTCTCTCATATGAAGACCTAAATTTAAACGAAAATTTTAAAGCAGCTCTCGAGACTTAAAGGACTTATATGATTTAATATTCCATCAAGTATAAGATGCTACTGCCTTGCAACTTATGTCATTAGATTATTATTACTTATCATTGATGTCGGTTCCAAATAATTTAAAACTATCATTATCCTTAAACTAGAGTTGAATTGGTATTGCTCAATGACTCGACCCCGTAATTACGTAATTATTTAAGTTTGAAAAGATGGCCAAAGTGTTGACCAGATTTATATTCAGCTGGCTAGTGTGCAAAATAAATGTGTGATTCAATTAATTAAAGGCTTGCATACTAGGGGTACTACACAACTATATGTATCGTTTCAATTAATATAGAGTTTTCCTTAAAAACCCTAGTATTGACCCCATAGAAAATAAAGAATTTACTAAGCTAACTTAAAAAGATTTCTAATTAAACTGTAAACTAAATTCAAAAGAGAATAATATCGAACTATTTGTAAAAGGTTATAACGAAAGTGGCTACTTCTTATTTAAACTGAAAGTAAATGCAAAGTCTCTAAATTAAGGATGTGTAAAGAAGTAGGATTATAATAAAAAGTCTTTCCACTTACAAAGAGATTGTAAATCAATGCATGAATTACATGATTAAAGATGAAAATGAGGTATTGTGATAAATATGAGCTTAACTATTCATTATCCCTTCCAAGCATAAAGAATATTGACTAATCTAATGTTAACTCTAGCTTGTGTGGTTATGTTGAGTAGATCCTAGCCTCTCACTTCTAGATCACCCACTGTTCCCTTTCTATTGAATTAACCAGGGACCCTTAGTTCCAACTTTATACCAAATTTGTAAAGGATCTAGCCTGTCACTCTAGAAGCATCAATTCTACGCTCATCAGAACTCATCTCCCTATCTATTTGCACCTCCCGATCCTGACATTCTATATAGATAGATGTAAAATGCAATGTATGTGATTATATGATTAATTTTCTTAATAGTTATTCTTAATTTGCAACAAAACTAAAAAATGATCCAAAGCAAATGCTAGGCAAATTTTTCTCTATGAAGCAAATAAGAATGCAGTCATAATATTTCAATATGAGATACTACGCAAGTATAGGTATCGTTATCAAGTAATATAGAACTTTTTGATTAAGTCCTGAATATCGAACCCATAGGGAGAATTTGATTTAAATAACAAAATACTTAGCAATATATATTCTCACTCAAACTTAAGATGATATAATAGAAATGAAATTTTGATTCTTTTTGTGATTTTTGAAAATTGAAAATAAAGTGAGCAACTAATTAAGTTAATTAAAATACCGGCAAGCTGAAGGAAATATGGGTAACATATCTTTTTTCTTATCATGAATCAATGATAAATATAGAAATTCAGTTATGGAAGTACGCTAAATGTCTTGTGCCAAATAGGAGCAATAATATTCTTTACTATTACTAGAGATGCTATAAAATATTGGCTAATCTATAGTTTTAATAGTTTTGAAAACCGGCTAGGTGGAAGATATTAGCTCTCACTCCAGAGTTCCCTATTCTCCCTCCACCTGGGGGCTAACATTTCGTATTAAAATCTAAAACTATAAATCAAATTGGGGGCTTTAGCCTTTCACTCTAAAGCTCTCTAATTCTACACCCTTGAAAATATATTTTTTGATTTATTTGCACTCAACCCTGTTGACCTCACTTTTGGTTGAAGCTTAGTTTTTCTCATTAGCAGCCTAAGGTTTATCCATAGGACTTTCCTATTGACTATTCTTAGAAAACTAGACAAGAAACCCTCACCATTAGAAATTCCAAACTATTCTCTACTCAACTTGAAGTTCCACATATTGGTCTTAACCTCTAGCACTTAGTAGGTGGGGTCACTATGGGGGAACTCAAGATGAGTCACCCTTAGGACTGCTGGAGCTTAGGGTTGACCTTGGGTGTTGGTCTAGGGCTAAGGCACTCACTTGCAATCACTTGGACTCACAATCATATATACTCTAATCACGGAATTTCTAGGTTCTGGTCCCATGATACTTTTGGGAGACTCCTGTAGGTGGTCCCCTAAACCCACTAGCCCAAAGCTAGGGTTTGGCTAAGACCACTTCATAGAGAACCCAAAATAGGGTTTTCATTAGTCCATGGCCTATTGATGGTGGTTGGCACTCCAACTCTACCATGATACCCAACCTATCCTTTTGCCCCTAAATTCCCCCAAATTACCTAGATACTTTTGGGACCCCAAATTTGGCCAAAATTCTCAAATCTACCCAAAATACCCAAATTGGTTCAAAAATCATTTCAAACACCTTGAAAAACAAAACTACCCAAAATCACCAAAAATGGCCAAATTACCAAAA